TCTGATTAATGACACTCAACCTGCTTGCTGAAAAGACACAAGAGCTGTGCTACAATCTGGCAGAAACTGGTTACAAGGAAGAAACTGCAAATTTCTTGAAACTGCTGGCTTCTATATGCTTATTCAGACTCAGTCCTTGGGAGCACCCAAGGGCTGCCTCCCTGCTCTGCCTCTGAGCTGTAATAGCCACTGTCCTTCTGATCAGGAAAGCTGATAAGCTCTCCTTAGACTGAGATCTACCTGTCTAGGAGTTGCATGCTATGTGATGTCTAAAAAATGGACCCCCTGGGGCTGGGAATTTAGCTCAGTGGCCTAAGTGCCTGCCTGCCAAGTGTAAGGTCATGAGTTTGATCCCTGACAGATGCTAAGTATATCCTATTTACAGGTAGAAGTGGCTCTGTTGGGAATGGTGTCTGACATGCTAAATACACTGTGGTCACCTTAGACAAAATTATTTTGGCCCAAACTCTCCTGCAGGGATGATCTGCACAGCAGACTGCTGTTTGGAAACCTGCCATCAAAGATGCAAAATAATTCAGCCCCGAGGCTTAGCCCTTTCCAGGGATCTGATTGAAACATCAATCCCAGCCACCAGACCTGCCCCACTGTGTGTTCTGCAAGCTCAAGTTGCTGCACTTGAAGCTTGAAGCTCAGGCTTCAGCATCTGTCACTGGCCCTGACCTCCCATTCCCTATCCATACTGAAAAGACAAAGTTTGTAGGGTCTTATAAAAAATCATCCCTAGATATGACCTATCCTTGATCATTGGCAGTGACAGCAGGCCTGCATATGTAACAGGGGTGACTCAAAATGTAGATTAAGGCTGGGGATATAGCTCAGTGGCATAAGTGCCTGCCTGGCAAGTGCAAGGTGCTGAGTTTGATCCCTGGTACCAAAACACACACACACACACACACACACACACACACACACACACACAATTAAAAATTACATACAGCTTGTGATCAGTTAAAAGACCAGCTATATCTGTAGATATTCCTGTACACACATAAAAGCCAGATACGTATTAACTGCCTCTACAAGTTTCAGAAATTCAGCCTTAGAATTTGCTGAAAAATTTACACGGACAGCTCCTCTAAGGCTCACTCTGAAGAGACTTGCCCCCCCCCCCCATCTGTGGTTTTTTTAATTAACCTGGATTCTGTTTGTCCTGGTCCTTGCTTTGCTGCTCCCTGTTAGCTGTGTTTTTTTCCTTAAATTCTATGGACAGTTGCCCCAAGAGAATAGAACAATTGACCAAGATTTGATGAGTATCTAAGATACATTGGATACTCTCTTAGATCAGATATCTCCCTCACTATCTTGCCAGAGTAATGTTACAAACAGACAGGTGCAAATTCTAGTTGGGGGCTGGGGATTTACCTTAGTGGCTAAGCACCTGCCTGGCAAGCACGAGGTCATGAGTTCGATCCCTGGTACAAAAAAAAAAAAAAAAAAAGCTAGTTGGGCATTCTCAGAAGATCACTGTAACATGCCCAGCAAGGATTTGGTAGGGAAACTAAAAGAGGAGGAAAATGTAGCAGAAAATGCCCCTGCTTCCAGCCAGTCTACTTGAGTTTGTTAGTTGCCCAGGTAACAGTTCCTGCTCCAAATCTAGTTGTTCCTGTCTCTTAGAAGCAACTGGTTACAAAAAAACAAAAAACAAAATGTAAGAACCCCCAGAATCTTTGGGGCCAGTGTTTAGCTTTTTTTTTTTTTTTTTTTTTTTTTTTTTTTGGTGTTTAGCTCTTAAGTGCTTGCTTGGCAAACACAAAGTCTGAGTTTGAGCCCCAGTACCAAAAAAGAAACAACTGGTTATTGTGATGCATAGCTAGTCACTCTCATGCATATTATACTAGCCAATGCCCAGTTGACAAGCCATTCTGCCTCTGTGCTTCCTGCTTTTTTATCTCAGATAAGCCTAGACCACCAGAGATCAGGGTCTGATATTTTGAGAATGATCTCGATCAGTGCCCAGCAACATAAATAAACCTGCCTCCAAATCCTGGGTGGTGTTTTGGTATTTTTGCTTGTCATTGCATGAGTATCATAACATTTTAAATAAAGGAGCTATGAAAAACTTAGTTTTCTTTTCTACTTAATCCTTAATGCTTTGTAACCTCACCTCCTCTCAGAGTTGTGGAGAATTGGGAAGGAGGGAATGTAGTGACAATGACAAATGAACCTAGGGTAAAAGTGCATAATACCTGTGTGTGTGTGTGTGTGTGTGTGTGTGTGTGTGTGCGCACGTGCATTGGCACATGTATAGGTGTACTCACTTTTTAATATATCCTGTGTCCCAGCCCTGATAAGTAAGAGAGGGTAAAGAAAACAAAAACAGCAGTAATAGCAAGTGAATGTGATAGGATTTTCAGTGTGGTTAAAGAGAAGGAGAATATAAAGTGAAAATGGCCTTTATTCTAAGGACGCGGAGAGAAATTCCATGACCCCTGGGGCCTGGCTTTTTCTGCTGGGCACGTGGTGTGGGGGGCATACATATAGCTTTTGTCTGGGGTGGTGCCTAAAGGTGGCATCGCTGATGTTGAGTAGCTGGTTGGAACCCTCTTTGCACCATAAGTAAGTTGCCTAGAGGCGGGGAAAATGACCTCAAGGTAAATTTCCCTTAGTCCCACCTCCCACTGCTCAAATGTCCTATCTAGGGCAAAATCCTTTCAGAATGTATGTACAGAGACTACAGTAATTTATTTGATCAAGATTTTTTGTTGAATATTTTACAGACATTGCTGTAGGTTGTTCCTATTATTTTTATCTGCAGACAGTAGTTGGCTGTAGTGGCACATACCTATAATCCCAGCACTAGGTAAGCGAGGCAGGAGGATTATTGTAAATTTGAGGCCATTCTGGACTACATAGTGAGTAGGCTACATAGCACGACCCTGTCTCACAAAAAAAAAAAAAAAAAAAAAAAAAAGTAAACATGGCATTTATATTTGCCTTTCTCTGTTTTTTTGTTTTTTTTTGTTTTTTTTGTTTTTTTTTGAGGTAGAATCTTGCTGTGTAATTCAATTCAGGCTGACCTTGAACTCACTGTATGACCTCACAGGATGACCTCAGACTTGTGGCGATCCTCCTGCTTCAGTCTCCTGAGTGCTAGGTGTGCACCCCTGTGCCCTTTGGTTCTCATGCTTTTTTACCCTCATTCTGTGATGGTTACATTTTGTGAGTGTTCCCATGCAGTTAAACCATACATTTATATGTGGTGCATAGTTCAAGTTCTATGTAGAACTTCAAAATTTAAGAAGGAATTTTTTACAGTCCAACTTAGGCATTACTACACTAAGCTCTTATATTACTTAAATAACTGATTTGTAAACTATCTCCATTTAATTCCTAGAGGAATTTGTAGGGAGGTATCAAAATTGTAAATAGACAGTAAATGATTTCTTAAGTAACAAATCTGTAAAAGGTATAGGGTTAGGTAGAAATAATGATTGTATATAGAATCTAGTATAAAATACATTCTCTTAACTGTTCAGTAATCTTAAATCTGAGCTTCCTGACAGTCAAACAAAATAGGAAAAATGTTAGTTTTTATGTTTTGTCAAACAAAGCATCCTCATTTTTCAAGGTAAGTGTTTTTCTTGTTTAATTCTGTTAATAAGAAGCTGGGCGTGTGACGCATGCCTGTAATTCCAGCAGGAAGGAAGCAGGGGCAGGAGAATCATGGCAAGTTTGAGGCCAGCCTAGGTTACATAGTGAGTTCAAGGCCTGTCTGCACTATAAAGTAAGATCCTGTCTAAAAAACAAGTGCACAATAATTTTGTTAGAAAATTAAACATATATAGGGTTATATGAAGGCTATGATGGAAAATAATTGTAAGGATTTTTGATGGTTCTTTTTACTCACTTGAGATAAAAGCTATGATTACCTGTAGTTTAAGGGTTGTCTTCTCTGTGGAATGAAACATGACCTTATACTTCTAGAGATCTGCTGTTTAGTATTTTAGTAAAATTCAATCACCTGGACACCTGTTTCAAGTGTCAGCTGTTCTAACACTGCTGAGATTTGACCAATGTTTCTTGCATATCTGATGTCTAAAATTCATGTTTCTGTTTGCTTAGTAGTAGAATATCTGCAGTTGTTGAGTGTGGTGGCACATGCCTTTGATTCCAGCACTTGGCAGGCTGAGGCAGGAAGATCGCCATGAGTTCAAGGCCAGCCTGAGCCACATAGTGAGATGCTATCTCAAAACAAAAACTCGAAACCAGAATATCTGCAGTACAGGGACATTTCATTTTCTGTTGTGGAAATTGGCTAGGGTTTTATTTTCATATCAACAGAGCTTCATTTCTTTTCCATAGGGTGAGAGGCCGTCACTATGCCTAATACAAGTATTAGGCTACTTTCCTAAGATGTGTTGAATCTGCTCCAGGGCCCAGACGGTTACATTATTGAGAGTCTAGAATCCTGTATACCCCCGGTTGAAGAGATACTTTTGACCTTGAGCTTTTAAAGCGTGTGTGGCTTAGGTTGGTTCCTTCAGTTATAAAAGTCCAACTGTGCTTATGAGGAATGGCCCTATTTATATTACATTGAGCAGTGGTGTCACTGCAGAAGCTTAGATTAGAAAGGGATGTACTGGTCCTTGTTCATTTGGAATCTCTTTTTCCTGCCTGATGAGCACTAGAGTGTGTTTGGTGCTCTTACAGAGCAGTTATTTTGATAATATGCGTAACAAGATGGTTTTCCAATTAGGGTTTAATGAGCCAGTTTAGTTAAGTAATTACCAATGAAGGTTGCCTCGGTTACTTGTGCATTAGCTTCTTCAGCTAGAAAAAAGGTAATTTCTCTGTCCTGATAATGGTCTAACTTCTTTTAGGTTTTTTAATCTTCAGTGAGTTAACTGTAATACCAGACATATATAAAATATGTGACTATCTTGACATGCACACTGTGTATTGCTCCCAGTGTTATGCGTCTCTGAAACCTTATGGAGCTGCAAAACTGAGCAAAGTCACAAAGCGTCTTCTTTACACAGGTGCTCGAGTTTGGCTCTTCATTGGTTTCATGTTGATGTTCGGATCACTTATTGCTTCCATGTGGATTCTTTTTGGGGCGTATGTTACTCAGAGTAAGTATTTGTTTCTCCTTTCTTTTATAGGATAGCTTCCTATGCCTTTTGTATTTAGCAAAGTCTGTTGAGTCCACCTGGAATAAAATGTAGTGTACTTACTGAATTAGCTCTTGGCTGTTGCACCATGCGCAGGGTTACTGGTTGTTGACACAGCCTGTCATTGTGCAGTAGAATGGCCCAAGTGTGAGTCCTAGCCACTGACAAAGATCTCTAGAGTTTCTAACTCCTCTCCTTTCCTTGCATAGCCAGGCTTTTATACAAGAGGCCTATTTCTGGGGGTCTAAAGTGAGAAAGCAGTTTAGGCTTATTGTCAGACCCCTTATACACAATTCTGAAATCCACAGAATGCTAGAAAAAAATTTTATAATGAATTTGGCAGCAAAACCTGACCAAAACTGATTAGAGGCTCATTATGGTTTTAATCCCATTTAATGTGGTAGTCAAATGTTGCATTACAGTAATGAATTTGAATGTATTTGATTATAGGATGGTGGTCCAGTTCCAGCTCGGGATGCTATGTAATATATATGTGCTTTGTGGGTTTGTTGTTTTGTTTTTTTGGTATCAGAAATTGAACTCAGGACCCTTGTACTTGCCAGACAGGCATTGTGCCACTGAGCTATATCCCCTGCCCTGTGTTACTCTTCTTAAATCGGAAAAATTCTAATTTTTTTTTTTGGTCTTTTTGAGACAGGGTCTTGCTATGCCGTTCAGGCTGGTCTTGAGCTCACTTTGTAGCCCAGGCTGGTATCAAACTTGCTACAGTTCTGCCTCAGTCTCCTGAGTGCTGGGATTACAGGCATGTGCCACCATGCCCAGCTGAAATTTCTAATGTGTGTTTCAAATCTTTTACTGTGCAGGTTATCTTGAACTATTAATATATTAATATTCATAATAGCACTACCATTTATATATAGGTTGAGTATCTCTAATCTGAAATCCAAAATGCCCTAGAATTGGAAACTTTTTGAGAGCTAACATGATACAACAAGTGGGAAATTCCAAATTTGATCTCTTGTGATGTTTCATTCAAAAAATAGGTGTACTGGGGGCTGGGGATTTAGCTCAGCGGCATAAGCGTCTGCCTTGCAAGCAGGCAGTTGTGAGTTTGATCCCCAGTACCGATAAAAAAGGAAAAAGACAAAAAAAAAAAAAATAGGTGTGCTAAAAATACTGTGTAAAATCACTTTTAGGCTATGTGTATGAGATATACATGGAACATAACTGAATTTAATGTTTAGACTTGGGTCCCATCCCCAAGATAGATTTGGATATTCTAAAATCTGAAAAAATATGAAATCTGAAATGCCTTAGTCCCAAGCATTTTCTAATAAGGTACAGTCTGTCCTGTACCATTTAATGGATCAAATACTATAGTATTCTAAGCAATATGCATGGGCACTGATTTAAGTCTCATTTTCTGTGGTGGACCCATTTTATAGATTTTATAGATGGGAAACTGAGCTATTTTATAGCATTTTATACCTCAGTTTCCCATTTTATAGATGGGAAACTGAGCTATTTTGGAATTCAAGGTCATTTATTTAATCAGTGATAGAATTAGGATTTGAACCTAAGAATCTGGCTCAAACTTGAACTTCTGTTCCAAGCTGCTCTATTTGCTACGATGTAAAAAACAAAACATACACACACACACAAAAAAAACCCCCCAGTTTCTTCATCTTTTCTAGTATTGGTTTTTTATCACAATTGTGTTTTATTTTATTATTGGCTACAAAGATGGTATAGCCAAAAATAGCAATGACATGAACATATAAAGGTATTTCTTTGGGGTTGGGGATTTAGTTCAGTGGTATAAATGTCTGCCTGGCAAGCAAGAGGTCATGAGTTTGATTCCCGGTACCAAAACAACAACAATAACAAAATTGTGTTTGTTTGGAGAGTTGCCCTGGTGTGACCTCAGCAGGCCACCTTAACTCCTCTTCTGGAAATGTCCTGTCTCAACTGTATTCTTGAAGAACCTGAGCCTTGAAGAGTTTGCCGTGCTCTGGCAGTGCGTGTTAATGTGGCCTGCAGTGAGAGGCAAGTCCGTCCTGCCCGGGCCTGGTGGGGTGTGAAGAGCTTGGGCAGGTCCTCCTCGGCACTGGCGCTGCACATTTTCCTGCTAACAGTGCTGCTGGTACTGATGCTTCTGCTGCTGCTTGCTGGTGTTCCTTATGTACCTGTCATGCTTCACTGTATCTTGGCTCATTTCATCCAGCCTGTCCATCATCAGCAGTGGCAGGTTCTTCCTCAGATGACTGCTGCTAGCAAGGCTGAGCAATTCTCGAGCTCCCATGTCAGGACATAGATCAGATGTGACTGACCATCTTTTTTTTTTTTTTTTTGATATCGGGATCGAACTTAAAACTGCACGCTTGCAAGGCAGGTACTTATGCCCCTGAGCTAAATCCCCAACCGCTCTTTTCTTTCCTTTCTTATCTTTTTTGAGACAGGGTCTTCCTATGCAGTTTAGGCAGGCTTGAGCTTCCTTTGTAGCCCAGGCTGGTCTCAAATTTGCACTGATCCTTCTGCTTCAGCCTTCCGAGGTGCTGAGATTACAGGAGTGTGCCACCACGCCCTGCTCAGATGTAAATTTTTAATTACAATTGGCACTTCTTCAAACATGTGCTCAAAGGTGATGTTTGGCTTTTTCAATGTTTCAGGGGAAAATTTTTTCTCTTTACAGACTTCCATCTCCTTAGGAGTCAGTCTGTAGGCCTTTAGCAAGAGACTCTTCTGCAGTTTTAAAGGGATCGTAACTGAGAACAGCAGATTCTTCAGTGGCATATTGGTAACTGACCTGAGAATCCAGAAGTGCCCAGATGATGAATGAGCCCATGGGGAAATGGTCGATGCTTATGTGGTGAAGGCTCTGCATCGTTTCCATTTGATGCTAGACTTCATCAAACTCAGCATTATCCTCTGTGTGCTGGGAAGGGGAAGCAGTTAGTTATTGCAAGTTGATCTTCGACAGCTAGGCCCAAAAGCACTTCCATCCACCTTGGTTCTTTGTCCTTTTTCTTGATAATGTTTATTATCTTTAATACCACCAGGCCATCTGTGTGCACTTGCCTCACAGCTGAATCTCCAAGAGCTGCCTCTCCTTCCCCGTCTCCCTCTGCCCCTGCCTTTGCCTTTGCCTCTGCCTTTCCCTTTCTGCACCGCAAGGTGGGGGGGGGGGGGGGGCTGAACCTTCCTTGCAGGATGCCATCTTTCCAGCCTGTCTAGTATTTTGTAATCAACATTTAGAGTTTTTTTCTTTCTTTCACCTTATACTTGCCAGGCCGGCACTGTGCTCCTGAGCTATTTCCAGCCCCATTTGTAGTTTTACAAAAATTATCTATAAAAATTTTAAAAAGCTTCTGATTTTTTTCTTTTCCTGTGAAGACAGGAAGCTTTTCCTCTAGGATAAAGTCAGGGAAAGAACTTGATGATAAATTTTAATGATTCCTGTTTGTATGTGTCACATTTGCATAATGTAACTCCTGGATTCATGAAAGAAAATAAATTAGAAGGCTTGTTACCTGGTAAGGGGTTTTATCCAGGAATTGATGTCCTAAACAAAGAACTAAGCAGGACACTCAAGAGTAGTAGCAGAAACAGTGATTTATTTGCAAGAGAAAAGACAAGATCCACTCCACAGAGTGGGAGCGGGCTGGTCAGTGAGAAGAGTTCGTGGCACCAGGGGCACTTGGTGTGGAGAGTACTCAGCTTAGGACTGAGACAGGATCCAGGATTTGATCTGAGGTATGACGCCTGCCAGGGAGGGGCCCAACTCAGGCCCTGTGTCGGTCAGTGGAGGTTTTGATCTTACCTGGCCTTAGGGAAACCCTCATGGTGTCCAAAACCCTGAAGGATGTCAAATCTGCATAGTCAGTGATGTGATTAGGGCTGGGGTTGGCAGAAGACCATTGGGCACATACCTGGGGCCCTGCTGTGTATAAGCAAGGTTGCCTAGTATTTTTCCCCTTGTGTTTAGACCTAGGCATCCTGGTCCCTAGCTACCTTTAACTTAGAAGATGGATCTAGTCGCAGAAGGTGGACCCTAAGGTGGGTCCTCCCCTTTTTTTTTTTTTTTTATTAATTTTAACAGCTGTTTCCATGGTTATCCAAGCCTTAGGTCTAGCCCGGAAAGCAGGCTCCATGGTACGGGACCCTACTTTTTTCTCTAGTCTTTTCCTTAGTTACTACTTCCTGCCAACAACTAATCAAGAATTTAATTATATATTTCTAACATTATTATTTCTATCTTCCACAGGAGGCAAGGGAATAAGGTACTCTGTTTTCCCAGTACCTTTTTGTTTTGTTTTGTTTTCTTTCTTTCTTTCCTTTTTTTTTTTTTTTTTTTTGTACCTGGGATCAAACTCACGACCTTGTGCTTGCCAGGCAGGTGCTTATGCCACTGGGCTAAATCCCCAGTCCTGTTGTGTTTTCTTTTGAGGCAGGGTCTTGCTGTGTCATCCAGGCTGGCCTTATCTTGGGCTCAAGTGATCTTCCTGTCTCAGTCTCCCAAGTGGCAGGGGCTACAGGTAGTAGCTCTCAGCACTTTTGATGCAGCTAGTACCATAGCAGTTACTGTTTTTTTATTTTTATTTTTTTCAAATCCATTTTATTAATAGATAAAAAGAAAGAAAAAACTACAACAAAATTTTAAAGTATTTCAGTTGGGGTAACAATCTTGCATACATATAATAACAGTTACTTTAATATGTGTGTATAATAATAATGAAAATTATAAAAGATCAAGGACATTTCTTTGCAAGTTGATTTTTTAAAACAAATGATTTGTTTTTAATTATAGATACTGTAATATTATGATTTTTTTGTTTTGCAAAACCAGTAAATATTGTACGAAAATAAATTCTTTCTTTTTTTGGGAGAGAGGTACCAGGAATCAAACTCAGGACCTCACACTTGCTAAGCAGATACTGTGCTGCTGAACTATATCCCAGCCCAAGAATAAATTTTAAACTTGTAATTTTCCAAGATACTTG